ATGCCCTATAAGAATCCCTCCAGCCCCTGAGGTCAGTCTCTGCTCAGAGTTGGCCTACTCCCATGTTCTGTGGCGTGTACTATCGCTTAATAAATCTGCTCGCTCTCTTTCTGCTATAAACTCTATGTGTTTGGTTCACTTTCTTGTCTACAATCACCAAGAACCCACCTGTGACAAAAGCAATGTCTTATTAGAATGCATTTATATAAGATCAACTTCATGATATATCTGTTATAAAATCATTCAATGTCAACAAGACATTTTTTAGAAAATTTTATATATTTATTTTTAGAGAGAGGGGAAGAGAAGAAGACAGGAAGAGAAACATCAATGTATGAGATAACTCTTCGATCGGCTGCCTCTCACATACTCCCAACTAGGGACCTGGCCCAGGTGTGTGCCCTGACTGGTAATCAGACTGACGACTTTTTAATTCACAGGCCGGCACTCAGTCCACTGAGCCACACCAGCCAGGGATCAACAGCCTTTTTTGATAAACCCAAAACTTTGATATGTAGGACATTTGTGTATATATTTTTAAACTGTTGTTTTCAGAAGTTAAAATATGTTTAAAGTTTCTGGGTAAAAATTGTAGATTAAATACATGTATCTAAATTTGATCCACTGAAAATACACTAAAACTACAGCAAAGGGATTTCTTAATTTTATTTATTTATATTTAGAGAGGGGAAAGGGGGGAGAAAGAGAGGGAGAGAAACATCAATGTGTGGTTGCCTCTCATGCACCCCCTACTGGGGACCTGGCCCGAAACCCAGGTATGTGCCTTAAACAGTAATCAAACTGGTGACCCTTTGGTTTGTAGCCCATGCTCAATCCACTGAGCTACACCACCCAGGAGCAAAGGGAGTTTTTAAGGTATAGATTCACAAGGACAGGGAAATAGGACAGGAGACAAAAACCAAATAGTTTAAAAAGCTGGAAAGCATGTGGGTGAGTGGCTTCTGACTTAGACTAGACTAGAGAAGATGGATCTTAGGGCAGCAGTGGCGCAACCATATGGCAAAACAGAACTCTGTTGTGCCCCATGGCTTACCACCCTGAGAGGGAAGTCCTAAAGATGCTGACAACAGAGGTTCCCTGCAGTGAAACTGTGACCAACAAGTCCCATCGTGTACCTGAACCCACAGAGCGCAAACACTTCAATCAGCTTTTAGGTAACTCATCCTTAAAAGTGAACAGACAACTGCCCTGGCTGGTATAGCTCAGTGGATTGAGTGTGGGCCTGCAAACCAAAGGGTCATCAGTTCAATTCCCAGTCTAGGGCACATGGCTGGGTTTCAGGCCAGGTCCCAGTTGGGGGTTGTGGGAGGCAACCATACATTGATGTCTCTCTCCCTCTCTCCTTCCCTTGCCCTCCCTCTAAAAATAAATATATAAATTCTTTTAAAAAATGTGAACAGACAACCAAGCATTATAAGACCTCCAAGAAAAGGATCTAACATGAAAGAGACCAAAACAACAGAAAAAGAAATTTAGATGCTCTGGCTGGGTAGCTCAGTTGGTTAAGTGTCAACCCAATACGACAAGGTTGCAGGTTTGATCCCTGGTCAGGGCACATACAAAAATCAACCAATGAATGCATAATCAAGTGGAACAAGTCGATCTCTCTCTCTCTAAAATCAATAAATTTTAAAAATTTTAAAAATTTTTAGAGAAAACAAAGAAGCAGAAAGAAGAAAACTTAAAACTGTAATAGCTTCAGAGATAACATAAGCTATTGCAACTCTGAAACCAAATGAGATGCCATAAAAATGAATATTCAGAGAATAAAATAAGGTAAAAATAATAAAAATCTTTAACATATTGAAAAACTCAGAAGATTTCTCAGAAGAAGAATGGTGGAAGATAAAATTGAGGAACTATCCAAGAAAACAAAATAAAAAGATGGAAAGGAGGAGAGAAAAGTAAGAAACTAGAAGGACCAGTCCAGCAGATCTATCATTGAATTACAGGAGTTCCAAAAAGAAAGAACAGAGAAAATGGAAGAGAAGACATCACCAATGGGATGATTCAAGATCATTTCCCAGAAGTGAGGGCACTGAGTGTTCAGCATAACTAATGGCCTCTCACCAAAACAAGACTGCTATTTCAGAACACTGGAGACAAGAGGTTCGGGGTTGGGGAGGAGTCACTCACAAATGATAAGGGTTAAAATGCTTCATACTTCTCAGCAGCAATGATGAAAGCTAGAGGGGAAAGTCACACTGCTTCATGATTCCCAAGAACATCCATTCCCAGCTAAATGATCGATCCAGTGTCAGAGTAGAATAATGGGAATGTCAAATACACCAAGTTTCCAAATAATATACCACCCCTTGTCTCAGGAAGCTTCTGGAAGGTGGTCCCCTCCAAAAAGAGGGAATATATTAAGAAAAAGAAAGACATGGAATATGGCAAAGAAAAGACCCAACAAAGGAGAGAGGGAAAGAAAATGCCCAAGAGGATGAGGGAGGAGATGCCAGGCTGCCAGACGGGCAGCAAAGATAATGGGTAAACCCTCGGATTGGAGCGGGTCAGAGGCTCCAGGGATATGTCTTCAAGAAAGTGAAGTGAATAGAATTATCTGCTGTATCTAAATATTCTGAGAAGAGACACAACTGAGAGAAGATATTAAGGCAGATTTTGTGATAAATAGATAGACAACTAAACAAATAAAAAAAACAAGATAATTATTCATTCTAGGAAAAATAAAAAATTGTGCTAGGAAAGGAAGAGTAAGTTTTCTACATGGCTCAACTCTGAATGCCATGTGTAGTCACAATGTTGTAAGAAATTGAACTAGCAAAAATGATCAAACTTGGCAGCAGGGAGATGGGAATTAGGTGTAAGTGGTGGGGAGAGAGGAAGGGGGGAAAATCCTTAAATCTGCCCCTATTATTTGTGGGGGCTAAGGCAATACTACAATGGAGACTCACATACTAAATATTTTAATGCTATAAATTAAGCTAACAAATTGTTGAATAATATACCTTTTAAACTCATTTACAAATATACCTTCATAAGGACCAGGAAGACCAGGTTCTAAATTAGAATTTATGGGATCCTCAGAGTTCTACACTAGAAAATAGCATCCCCCAGTCCCTGGCTCTTGCCTGACCCCCTTCCCTTCTGTTTTTCCCTCTGTTCTACGTTGAGAGAAGCTTAGACAGGGTTCTGTGGATACCACAGCTGTGCTCACACCTCTTGCTGTAAAGAGCTGTCCTTAGCTACTCTTCAGGCCTAGGGATGCCCACGTCATCAGCAAGGTGTCTCTAGGGAGGAGAGATCCAAGGAAGAAGCTGGTACAGGCCCATGAAGCAAACTCAGCAGGGAATTCCAAGGTCCTAGGTATTCAGAATATGGCATAAAAGGGGGAAAGTGGTCTCTGGATGGGCACACCACCTGGGAGTCCTCACTCTGTTGTAGGGAAGCAGCTAGAGGAGGGTCAGAGGTATGAAGGTAACTGCCAAAAAGAAACAGCTTAAAATAGTTGAAAATGGAGAGAGGGCTCTTCTATTAACAAATCTAATGCAATTGTCTTGACTCTCTGAAACAGGTGTCTATGTATTCTAAGAAAATACCTCATGGAACACTGGCTGGTGTGGCCCAGTGGATTGAGCACTGGCTTGCAAACTGAAAAGTTGCAGGTTTGATTCCTAGTCAGGGCACATGCCTGGGTTGGGGGCCAGGTCCCCAGTTGGGGGCATGTGAGAGGCAACCACACATTGATGTTTTTCTCCCTCCCTTCCCTTCTCTCTAAAAGTAAGTAAGTAAAATCTAAAAAAAAAAAAGAAAGAAAGAAAAGAAAAGAAAAATTAAATACTTCATAGAAAAAGAAAGCCTTTAAAAATCAAATCTGATGGATAAAAGTTTATGGAACCTGTGAACTACTTCTGCTATGCCTAGAGGTCTCAATAATGAAGTTAAAAGCACAGGACTAGATCCTCATGAAAAACCACAATGAAGTTTGTCTCTATAGTGGCACCCAAGAATGAAGTCGTCTTCCCTTCCTTCCACCTGTTGCCTTTAAGTTAAGACTCCTACTTCGAATTGGTTGTTTTCCTCCCTCTCCCATTAGACTCTGAATTCCTTCCAAGCAGAGACCCAGCTCAGAGTTCCTTGTACCTCCAGCACCTAGCACAGTGCCAAGCAAGGAGTGCAGGCTCAGCTAAGTGCTGATGGAGAAAAGAAAAAGGAAGCCACTTTACCCAGGCTTTGGAGGGAAGGTGTTTGAGCCCTTTCTGCACCGGTATGCCTAAAGCCCTGTCAGTTACTAGCCCTTACACCTTCATCATATTCATTAAATAGCTTTGGGTTATATTTCCCTTATCAGCACAACATAGTATTTATTTCACATATTTAATTCCTATAAAAGATTGGGTTCCTTCTCCAAATCTCAAAAAAGAACTTGAGGATCACGTCAGAAGCACGTGTATGCCCCAAGACCGCAGGGATTTCGGGGGTGGGAGGGAGGGTCAGGGGAAATCTGCTTTTTTTCCCAACTGCTTTATGTCCGGTGCCAGGAACAGTTCCTGGCACATAACAGGTATTCAATAAATAGTTGTTAAGTGAATTAATGAATTAAAAAGTACTAAAAATAATCTCGCACCGAATAAAAACACGCTTTGAGAAGTGCAAAGATACCCTATACTCGGAATAAATACTTCGGCTCAGCCCCTGGTCCTGGGAGCGAGCGCGCGGGATCCAGTCGCTCCGAGAGAGCGCCGAGCGGAGCGGAGCGCTGGCCGAGGTCTCGAGGTGGCTGGTGGGAAGGGCGGGAAGACAGAAGAACTGCCGTCGACCACAGCGCCGGCTTGGGATCTAGAGCTCCAGCCGCTAGGTGCAGCCGGGCGTCCGAACTCTTAGCAGCCAGCCTGCTTGGGGGAGGTGCGCCCCGCCCCTGGTAGGCGGACCCTGGACCCGGCGCGGGGGCGGGGCCTGGCTCTCCGCGCCGGGGGCGGGGCTGATCTTGGGCACTCCGGGCCGGTGCAGGGCCCGGCTAGTCGACGGGAGCGACCGGAGCCCCGGCCACCAAGGGGTGCGACCCCCCACTGGCCCCGCCTTCCCGGCTGTGGTCTGGCCAATCAGAGAGGCTTTTACTGGCGGGTGGGCCCCGCCGGCTCAGCTGCTCCGAGGCTCTGGCATGGTAACGTCCTCGCGCGGGGGTGGAGGGGCCTGGGGCGGTCCCAGTGCGCCCCACGCGGCCCGGGCAGGGGCCGGGGAGGCCGGCGGGGTATACAGGACCCTAGGAGAGGGCGAGGGGCATGAGGGGCTAGGGCGAGGAGCCCGGGAAAGGGGATGGGGTCGGGGATTTGGGAAGAAGGGGCGGGGGAGGCCATGATGGAGGATGGCGGGAGGGGGCTGTTGAAGGGAATGAGTTGCGTGACTGTGTGAGGAAGAGAAAGGGGAAAAGTAAAGGATAGACTTGTGGAGAACGGTAGAGAAAGAAGAGAGAGGGCAGGAGATGTGGAAACCGCCAGACAGGGGGAGAGCTGGGGGCCACAGTTTCTCCTCTTGGGATATTTGGCTTGCGCCATGCCCCTCCCCCAGACTCGGTGCTTGTTCCCTTTGGAAGCCGTGTATGCCCCTTAAGACCTCTTGGAAACCTCCTCTTTCATTTCCTCATCTTGTCTCCCGAGGTGAGGAGGGGGCACTATCTCCTGAGGAAAGAAGGCTTCCAGCCCCCACCTAGTGCTGGATAGTCCAAGAAATAGGAGAGCAGAGGCCCCTTGATCCCAACCGTGGCTCTGCCATCAGCAAACTATAAAAACTCCGTGTGACCTTGGGCAAGTCATTACCTTTCTTTGGGCCTCAGATTTCTTATCGATGAAAAAAAAAAGAGAGAGAAATGCATAAGAACGGTAGCCTAGATCTCTTCCAGCTCCAAAATGAAGTGGTTTTTAAGAGATTTCTGGATAATGGGTTCTAGGACGTGGGGGAGCAAAAGAAAGGATGAAGATGGAGGTAGGCCTTCAGCTGGGGCTGCAGAAAATCCCTAGGGATGTAAGGGTAGGGATGGTAGGCACAAAGCCTGCAAGGCTGGGACAGGCTAGTCAGGGCCTCTGGAATCCTGGTGGAGGGATGGAAGAACTCAAGTGGAGGAGGAAGAGGTTGAGACCTAACCCAAAAAAGATGAAGACCAAAAGTAGCATTCTTTTCTTCAGAGGAAGAATGGCTGAGTTGTCAGGATCGGTGAGAAGCAGTGGAAGATATTTTCCAGTAAAACAGTATCTTTGCAAGCAGGAGGAGTAATGAGGCTGGTTCAGGAGAGGGGGGACTAGGATGGTCTTGAAAACTGGGTGGGAAGACTGAAGAGGGGCAGCAGGTAGGTAGAGCATGCTACCTACATGCTACCTAAGGTAATCAGTGGCTTCCAGCCTCCATGATACTTTTCTTTTTAGTGATGACTACCTCTTTCTGAGAGAGGTGCCTTTCAGGCTTCATTTACCAACACAGATCTCAGGGAGTGAGTCAGACCAGATCAGTCTTGGGATCACCTAGCTGTCTGAGGATTTGAGGATTGGGAAAGAAAACAGAATGAATTTGAGTGTAAGAAATACCTGTGACACCATTGTCCTTGCTGGGAGGAAGCTTTGTGAAGTAGTTGAAAGCTCAGGCTTTGGGGTCAAACTGCTTAGATTCCAGACATGCCTCTGCCATTTAAACTCTTTGAGCCTCAGTTTCTTTATCTATAAATGGGGATAATGACCTCCAAGATGGTTGGGAGGGTTCAGTGTTGTCATGGTATCTGGTTCAAAATAAGCACTCAATAAATATTACCTGTTAGTTGTTATTCCCTCTTTCCATTCTCCTTTCTGTTCTTCCTTTCTCGTTACTTTTTCCTTTTGTTCTTTCTTTTGAGTCTTCAGTTCTGAGATGACCCTTAGATGTGGAGGCTGAGAAGAATTGATTGCATCTTGGGGGTCTTTCTGCTGGTCCAGGTGAACACATGATAATCAGACGATCAGTCATCTCTTTTCATCTCTCCCCAGCCCACAAATGTGTTTTTGTTCCAAGAAAGACACAGGATCTGCTTCTCTTTCAGTCCCATTCCTATATCCCTTTCCCGCTTGAGTGAGTTCTTCAGATTCTTACCTGGAAGTGTAATGATATATAAAGTTGTACAGGCACTTCAGCAAATGAGATGGGGGAAGGGGTGTTTCAGGAAAGGAAGAAAATGTACACATCACACAGGGGAGGCTTGGGAAAGGGAGGGCTTTGGAAGTTCCATAGAAGCTTATGTTCATTTCATTGCTCTGTCCTCTGTCAGGAAACAGGCCAGTGTCTGGATCCTTGCCAGGGGTCTCCATTCCAAATTAAAGATTGTCATATATAATCAGTTTTCATTATTGAGGTTTTCCCAAGCCAGTATTTGATCCAGTTTCCTTTCCACAGCCACACAGGTCTCTGCCAAGCTGCCTCTCTGTCTTATCACAGCCTTTACCCAGAGAATTTATGCAGAAGTACTGGGCACACGTACACACACACACACATTTCCCTTTTTTAGGATGTTCTATAAGGTTAAGGATAAGTCTGTGTTTTCTCACGTCACTTTTTGTACAAGGCCTTGACTAGACACTCGGAAGAGGCTTAAAAAGAGAAAACTCTTTTCTCTGAATGTAGAGAAATCCCCACCCAAGTAGGGAGACAGGCAGTCCCGCATAAAACACCTGAGATACGTCCGTAGAGTAGCATGTCCTTCAGTGCAAAGTAGTACAAGTAGGTGTGTCTGTGTGTGAAAGTCATAAGGCACCCTGAAGAAGGTGACTATTGGGTCATCTCGAACAAAGTGAGAAATGAAGTGGACTAGAAGAAACAAGCCATTGAATCAGAAGAAGCCAGGAAGAGTTAGGGCATGGGCCTTGTTGAAAGACTGAATGTTAGAGCGTCTGCAGGGTGGGCAGTAGGGAGCCACCACTGATTATCAAGAAGAAAATGTTGAGTCCTTACTGATTTCACCAGTACATGGATTGCAGGGGGTATGTATGCTGAAGTAAGAAAACTGACCTGCTTCCTGTGGTGAGGACTGTGCTTTTTTAAAAACTAATTTTATTTTTAAAGATCTTATGTATTTTTACTGAGAGGGTCTGGCATAGAGAAAGGGCGAGGTACATTGATGTGAGAAAAACACTGATGGGCTGCCTCTTGCACACACTCCCAAAACCCAGGCATGTGCTCCCACTGGGAATCCAACAGGTGACCTTTTACTTTGCAGGGCAACACCTTACCAACTTGAGCCACACTGGTCAGGGCTGTGCTTTTTTCCTGCCTTTTTTGTTTTTTGTTTTAATTTACTGATTCTAGAGAGAGAAGAAAGGAGAAACAGACAGACATCAATTTGTTGTTCCACTTAGTCATGCAATTCACTGGTTGATTCCTGTATGTGCCCCAACCTGGGATCAGACCCACGACCTTGGTGCATTGGGATGACATTCCAACCCACCTTTTTTGTTGTTGTTGTTGTTGTTGTTGAGGTGACATTGGTTAATAGGGTCCTATAGGAAGGACTGTGCTTTTAAAGGAGTAGGGCTGGAAGACAGATTGGGTCCAGGCCTGGCTGTGTCCCTAAGCAGCAGTACGACCTTGGACTCATTCCCCTTTAGTTTTCTCATCTGAAAAAAGTGGGCTACCTTGGGTGACTGCCAGAGTCCCCTCTCCATCTTTGACATCCTGAGTAACTGCTAGGCCATACCAGTGGCTTTGATTTGTGGCACTTGTCAAGACCGTTTAGTCATTAAGTCAGCAGGTGTTTGTTAGCCCCTACTGTGTGTCAGTAGCAGGTAGTGAGGAGAACTCAATGGGGGTTGGATATCAGGCTGAGCAAAGACAAAGTCTCACCCCCTGGAGTTTTCAGCCTACTGGAGGCGGCAGATGTTTCATTGATTCTAAGATCACAATCTAATATTTCTGAAGTCAATATGCATCTTAAAATCCATGGAATAACATTTAATTGATAGCATTTGTTTTCCTTGGTGTCACATAATAGTAAATCAGAATTGTACAAGTAACTGTGAAATTCCAATGGATAATTGCTTAAAGGACAGGTCCGTGGCATATGAGCATGTAGAGGAGGTGCTGACTGGTCCACTGGGTCGGCAGGAAGGTTTTTCTGAAGAAATGGTGGCTGATGGAGGTGAAGGATATGTAGACGAGATGTGTGGGGTTGGTGGGAAGACTCCCCCCACACAAAGGTGGGTGCCCGAGGCGGAGAGCTGAGCGAAGGTGCATGTGGCTGGAGCACGGACTTGGGAGCTCAGTGTGGATGGGGCTGCCAAGGCAGGTGAGGAGCAGGTCCCCCACAGCCTCCCAGGCTCCGGGCAGTGGTTTTGGTCTTTACCCTGAGGACAGTGGGAAGGCACTGAAGAGTTTTAAGCAGGGAAGTAGCATGGTCTGAAGTGCATTTTGGTGAGCCTGTTAGGGCTGCAGAGTGGAGTGGATATGGGGAGACCAGATGAAAGGGGTGGTTGGTGTGGAGGAGGAAATGGAGAAGAGTAGATGGGTTCAAGAAGTCTTTAGGAGGTGAAGTTAACAGGACTTGGAGATGTGTGGAGAAGGAGGGGGGAGGGAGGTGTAGAGAGTGATTGTCACGTTTCTGTCATGGACAGCCTGCGGCAGCAGTCTCTGACACAGGCAATGGCTGGAGCCTGGGAGGACCTAAAGATGGTTATATGGCATCTGGGCAGGTGGAGAGGACCCGAGGGCAGCGTGAGCTGGGAAAGAGTGGCACAGAGAACTTGATTTCTTTTCATTTTGATCAGTTTCTGCCTTCCCATGCTAAGGAATGCTTCGGGGACAGGACAGGGCTGATACAGGGCTAGAGGAGCTGCACACTGGGGAAAGGTGATTCAGGGTGGGGTAGTTTGGCTTATCCCCTCCTCTCCTTAGGGTGGCCATATGGGCGGCAAGAGAGGAAGCACAGATGTCGCTAAGTGTAGAGATTAGAAAGTATTTTTTAAAAGCCGAGGCTTCTCAACATAGGGGTCAGTGGGGAAGCAGGAAAATTGGGCCCCAGTGAGGCAGCTCCTGGCTCAGCTTCCCCTGGTCTCTTCCCTGCCATCCCCCTCCTTTCAAGCAAAGGGGCGGGGGAGGTGGGGCCTTTGAGCTGCATCTCCACACCTCAGTTTACTTAAAACCATTTTTTTGAATGGGTATCATTTGTATGGGTGCGTATTCAAAAGTTACAAAAGGGGATATAGTGACAAATCTCTGCCCTGGTCCCCATTCCAGCAGTGTTTTGTGTGTCGTCTTTTGTGTCTACTTTTTACACAAGTGGTAACACTTCGCAGCACTCTGCCTTCCCCCATTTGTTAATACACCTCCCCGGTGGTTCCGTGTCACGACAGTGAGCACGGTGAGCGTCTGCAGTCTTCTTTCTGGCCACGTGGTGTCCCGTTTATGTTTGCGTGTGATTTCATAGTTCGTATTGGTGGATGTTTAGGCTGATTCCAATCTTCCATTTTTACAAATAATGCTGAAATGGAAATTTTGCAGAGACATCATTTTGGCCATATGGGGCTTTATTTATAGAACGGATATTTAGAATTAGAAGGTTCCACATAGAGTTTTTGTTCTCTCACTTGTCATTCATCCTTACAATATTTATTGAGTGCCCATTATGTGCCAGATCCTGTGGAGGTGCCAGGAATCCAGCTTCAACAAGTAAGATACGGTTCCTGCCCCCATGGAATGTTATTACCCTCCACTAAGGGGAAATGCAAAAGGGGATCAGAGAGAATGAATTGGAAGGCTCTACTTTAAATGGAGTCAGGAAGGCTTCTTAGAGCAAATGATACTTAATCTGAGAACTAAAGGGTGGGATGTGGCCAGCCATTAGGTGCAGGATGGGGAGACCTAGGCTGTTCACAGCCTCCCCACGGGGCAGCAGAGTTCAGGATCTGTAGGGGAGGAGGAGTAGAGCTAAAGAGATAGGGGAGGTGATGGGGAGTGGAAGACCTCAGAGAGTAGGTGACCAAAGATGAGGCCAGATGGGGGAGGGGGCTGGTGGTGGCGAGAGGAGAGTTAGGGAGACTGGTACTTAAGTTATTTGTGTTCACAGGGCTTTGGTATTGAATCTCCCTCTGTACCTGGGTGAATTCAGGTGGGGGGACAGGACAGAAGGCCACTTCCTCCCTGGATTATTTGTGAATATGAGGCCACAGTTTAACGGGTGTGAGGGAGGCACAGCCTTGCCCACAGGCAGGAGAGTGGGTGGAACACCTTGGGCAGAGCCAGTCTGCCTGTAGTATAGCCTCCTCCATCTTTTCTGTGGCTTTGGCAAAATGGAAACTTCTACTGATAAAATAAAGATGATGTTGGTGGGGCTCAGCCAGCTAGCTCTGGGCTGGTAGAAGAGAGAGCAGACCTACCCAGAGCTCAAGGCTAGAGTTGGGCAGGGAATGGGTCTTGGATACCCTTCCTCTGAACTTTGTGCTCCTTTTTTATCCTTACCCTCTGCTTCCCTTTTGCTCCCTTTTGCAAAAGCCCATCTCTTTGCCCATCCTGGGTCCTATGACTTTTCTCTCCCTCAACAGTCGGTTCCCGATTCTGGTCCCCGGCCCCCAGCAGCGCCTGCCCCCTTCCCACCGGGGCCCCCCATGATGCCACCACCCTTCGTAAGTTTTATGTCTTTCCCTGGGCTTGGCTTTTCCAGCCTGTACCCCGATTCCCCAGTCCCTAGCACTGCTGCACGGTTTTTGTGTGAAAACCCCCTTCTGCTGCCCTTGGAAGAGGGATGGTTTTGCTGGGGTATTGGGGTGGGAGAGGCTGCTGTTCAGTTCTCCATTCATAAAGTTGATGGTTTCCTCTTTGTCTTTTGTCCTTGGGACACACTGGGGCTGGGATAGAGGTAGAAGTGGAAGGGAAATGACCCCGGGAGTGTGAGGGCAGGGCGGGCTGTCTTTCTCTTTCACTGCTCCTTGTCTGCATTCTTTAAATATGCCACAGAAGTCAGGCTGGACTAGCAGGTGGTGGTCACTGAGTTGGAGAAAAGGGTTGGAAAGCAGGGGACTAGGGGTTTGGGTACCTGAACACCTGCCTTCTGGCCCTGCATCTGAGAGGCCTCTTTGGGGAGAGTTGCCTAAGAGGTGGAGCCTTCCAGACGAGGTCTGGTGGTGGTTATACTTTTCTTTTCCTTCTCCCTTCCCTGTCTCTCAAGAAGCTGTGTGCTTGCCTGTTAGACCCAGAGGACCCCCCCAGTTATCAGTCTTTCTCAGTGGTGAGGAGGGAGGCAGTTTCACACTTCGTGCTTCTCACACTAAAGCCTTGGAATTGCCTCAGAGCCAGAGTGGAACGTTTGGGCGGGAGGCAGGTGGGTGTTTCCTGCTCGGTCCAAGGTGGTGTCTCCTCTGCTCATTATCTCTTCTCTTCCTCCTTTCCAGATGCCCCCTCCGGGAATCCCCCCGCCCTTTCCTCCGATGGGGCTACCCCCCATGAGTCAGAGGCCACCAGCCATCCCCCCCATGCCACCAGGCATCATGCCCCCAATGCTACCACCAATGGGGTCACCACCACCAATCACACAGGTAATCCTCTCCCCTGCTCCAGGGCCTCCCCAAACCTGTCAGTTTATCTGGGGATGGAGATGAGAGTGGAGATCTGGACTTCAGAAACTGGGAAGGGAAGGGAGGGAGCTTCGAGACAGGTCCACTTGGATTTGCCTGCTGTGTGACTGGGGAAAACTCGCAGGCTAAGCTGGAAGCCCAGAGTCCCTCAGGGATTTCCTGAGGAGGTGCCCACGGGAGGATCATGGCCCCAACAGAAACTTCGAGGACCCTGCCCAGCCTCTTTCTGCCCTACCTCAGTAGGTGGTTTCTGTCTTTGCACCCATAGATACCGGGAATGGTGCCTCCCATGATGCCAGGAATGCTGATGCCAGCGGTGCCCGTCACCGCAGCGGTAAGCACTGGGGCTGACAGGAGGCAGCTCTGCACCACAGCACTGTGGGTCTGATTTGGAGTTCAGGGATATGACTTCCATTCTTTCCCTCTTCTCATCGGACCCACCTGGGTCCCTGCCAGCACTCCCCACACCTGAGTGCTCCTGTCCAGCCATGCACTGAGCCCTTGTGTCGCATTCATCCCCCGAGCATACACGTTCTCTCTCGTCTCTCTCTGCCGTGCCCTTCTCTTTTAAGCAACACGCTCATGCCAGACACTGCTTGACCGCACAGAGCTAGCACTGTGGACACTTAAATACAGTCCCCTGTTCACACTGTTTTCGTCTCTGGAGGAAAGTACAGCACCTGGGGATCTTGCTGTGCCTTCTTGTGGTGTAGCTCAGTGTAGTCGAGTCTGGATCGCGTGTAGAATTTGGCATCCACTGTGGAAGGGATGGGCCTCAACAAAATGCTCTCACCTGAGGAAAATGAAGAAAGGAGTTGCTGCTTGATTCCCCCAGGGATCCTAGAGCCACAGCCCCTGCGGGTGGGGGAAGCTCGTTAGGTAGCAGAGACCCCTGAAAGCAGGACACATGGATCTTGGCCTGGCCTGCTTCTCCATCCCCCATGGCCTGGGTCCTGGGGGCCACTGGGCTTGGCCCCAACCCTTCCCCCTCCTCTTTCTTCGGCAGACGGCTCCAGGTGTGGACACCGCCAGCTGTGAGTCTTCTGGGGGCCTGCTCCCCCCAGGCTCGGAGGTTGGGGGGTACAGGGGAGAGGGGACTAGAGTCCACCCTGGATCATGCCTGTTGGGATGCCAGTGTTCCTGGGCTATTGATGGGGCCAGGGGATATTTTGGGGGGTGGAGTAAGGGAGGCATAGGTGGGGATAAGAGGGGAGTTGGAGCGAAGACTTAGTGTCTTTCCTTTGGCTTCTTTTCTAGCTGCTGTGGCTGGGACAGTCCCTCCGGTGAGTTCTTCTAGCTCAGGGATCTCTGGGTAGAAAGGCTGCATGTGGGGGGCTAACAGTTCAACCTTTGGGGTTAGGAGAAGCAGCTTTGAGAAGGGGGCCTTGACCACCATTCTGTGCACCCCCTCCCCCAGAGGGCCCTATGGAGTGAGCATGTGGCCCCTGACGGGCGCATCTACTACTACAATGCTGACGACAAGCAGTCCGTGTGGGAGAAGCCCAGCGTGCTCAAGTCCAAGGCAGAGGTCCTGAGTGGGGCTTTCTAGCCCTTCCTTTCAGCTACCCTGACCCTTCCAAGTGCTTGGTCTTCCCTGAGTGTGCAACCACACACATTATGGTTCCTCTCATCCCAACACCCCTGACCACCCCCAACCTCCCTAGGATCTCAGGAAGTCCGCCTTCCCCCATGTTGAGTCAGACCAGGTGGAAGCTAAAAACTCCTGTGTCCCCTACTCACTGGGTCCCCTTAGCTCCTGCAGCTGTGGCTGGAGGGCACACCTAGCCCACTAATGTCTTCTGACCCATCTTCTTACAGCTGTTGCTGTCCCAGTGTCCCTGGAAAGAGTACAAGTCGGACACAGGCAAACCCTACTACTATAACAACCAGAGTAAGGAGTCCCGTTGGACCCGGCCAAAGGACCTGGATGACCTGGAGGGTGAGGATGGGTGGGCCAGGCAGGGGCTCTGAGGGGTGGCCTTCGCTACCCTGTGAACATGTTGTCTTTTCCCATTGCAGCTCTAGTCAAACAAGAGGCCATAGGGTGAGTACCTTGCCCCCTTTGCCCACCTATCCATCTGTACTTGGGGCCACCTAAGGGGTGGGAGTGGACTCCTCGAGTGATCCCTGCTCTGTGGAAGGAAGAGCAAGCTCTATCTCCTTGTGGAGTGGTCTACTCTGGCCCCAGTCCTTCTCAGGATAGAGGGTCCAGCCAGCCCCTGACCGCCTCTGTCCCTGCTTCATTCCTGGACACTGCCCTTCTCGCCCACCTGCAGGAAGCCACAGCCACAGACACAGCAGACACTACAGCCGCAGCCCCCTCAGCCACAGCCCGACCCTCCACCTGCGCCTCCTTGCCCCACCCCAGTGCCTGTGGGCCTCCTAGAACCTGAGCCAGGTGGGAGTGAAGATTGCGATGTGTCGGATGCCACCCAGACCTTGGAGCAGGGGTTCTCGCAGCAGCCAGAGGAGGGCCCCAGCAGGTGATGCAGAGGGCTGCCCCCACAGCATTCTGGATGCCGGCCTCTTGGGAAGGGTGTGGAGATCTGTTCATGACCTCTGAAGGCAGAAAAGGGCTGCTCTGGGGAGCAAGAAGGGGGTGGTTTGCTGTTAATCAGCTAGGGCATTGAAGCCTATAGGAACTGGGGGTGCTATGCTGAAGTCTCCTTTGCCCCCAGTTCTGCTGGACTGCATCAGCCACCACAACAGGAGGAAGAGGAATCAAAGCCAGAACCGGAGAGGTCTGGTCTCAGTTGGAGCAACCGGGAGAAGGCAAAACAGGCCTTTAAGGAGCTGCTGAGGGACAAGGTGTGGAGGACGGGGTTCCCAGGACAGGTCTGGAGGGGATAGAGGTGGCCAGGCCCTGTGACACCCACCCGCCTCATTCCAGGCTGTCCCCTCCAATGCCTCTTGGGAACAAGCCATGAAGATGGTGGTCACTGACCCCCGTTACAGGTAGGCCTGGGCAGAGGGAGCCAGGGACTCCCTGAGAAACCCCAGCGCAATCCTGAGACCCAAGGGGCCATAGGGAGGAGAGCAGTGAATGGTGCAGGTTTGAGGGGAAGGGCAGCTATGGAGGGGCTCCAGGAGGAGGGAAAAGTATCTGACATGAGACATGCAGTAAGTGCTTGTTGAGTTGAATTGATTTGAATTAACTGGGGGAAGGGGGCAGGGTAGGGCAGATCCCTGACTGCCATTTGAGCGTCCCCCAAATAAGGGCCGAGTACTGTCGGTGGCCTGGGACTCTTCTCTTCCCTCACCACCTCTCAGCCCTCCCCGAGTCCAGAGACCTTTCTTGCCTCCTGGAGCCCCTGCAGCCTGCTGCACCTGTGCATGGGCCCCTCACTCAGTGCTGTGGTGACCTGTCCCCAGTGTGCCATGAACCACAGGGTTCAGGCCAACTCCTCTGTTCCTGCCCCAGTGCCTTGCCCAAACTGAGTGAGAAAAAGCAGGCATTCAATGCATACAAGGCGCAGCGGGAGAAGGAAGAGAAAGAGGAGGCCCGGCTGAGGGCCAAGGAGGCTAAGCAGACTTTGCAGCACTTCTTGGAGCAGCACGAGCACATGACCTCCACCACCCGCTACCGGTCAGGGGCTGGGGCTGGCACAGGGCTGGGGCACCCTGAGAATGCCTTTGCCAGGGGTCTGTTCTCCACCTGCCTACCCACAGCCCGTGTGCTCCACAGGAGGGCAGAACAGACCTTTGGGGAGCTGGAGGTCTGGGCTGTGGTCCCCGAGAGGGATCGAAAGGAGATTTATGATGATGTCCTCTTCTTCCTGGCCAAGAAGGAGAAGGTAATAGTCTCTGGGCTGGATTTGTCAGCCCCGGTGTCATCTTAGATTCTTTGTGTCTGTGCTCTTTTTGGATCCTGGTCATTAATTTCTCTGATGCCTCACAGTCCTAGCTCCTTACTCTGAAGCTGCTGTGGCACATACACGTCCTTTCATTACTGCTCTGGGGCTGCTGCCCCGGGCGAGGGAGGGCGGGAAGCACTATGAGGGGCTGGTCTGTAAACTGCCCCTCCCTCTTCCTGGGGATGTGAAAGCCTTGTGTCCTGCCCTCCAGGGTTCCCTAGCTGCATTCCTTTACGCAAAATCCCCCTCTTCTCTGGTCTACCCTGCCTCACACTGGTCCTGTGGCTCCCCAGGAACAGGCCAAGCAGCTCCGGCGCCGCAATATCCAGGCCCTGAAGAGCATCCTGGATGGGATGAGTAGCGTCAACTTCCAAACCACATGGTCCCAGGCCCAGCAGTACCTCATGGATAACCCCAGCTTTGCTCAGGACCATCAGCTTCAGAGTAAGCCCCGGTCTCCACTCGCACCTGCCCTTCCCCTGCCCTCACTGACCTGGCTCCCATCACCTGTGTCATTCACACATTGCCTCCACACCTCTGGAGATCCCAAAATGCTCAGGGCACCCTGTCCCTCCAGGATTCACTGTTCACCTGGAGATTGTGTGTCCTTGGAGGAGGAGCTTGGGATAGGAATTAGAAGACCTAGAGATGGTGACCTCTGTAGCTGATGTGAGCTGCCTTCAGTGGCCATGGCACTGTGGACGTTCACTGGTCACACATTACGCTAAGCTGCTGGTGGCCTGTAGTCACTGGCGATACCAGAAATTCACCCTCTGAAGTTGTAGCAAGACCTGTTTTCCAGTTTCATAAACAAACCTTAGATCCCAAGAAAAATGATTTCATAAACACTATGACTTTGGTACCTAAAGCTATAAGAGCTGAACTCTTGCTGATTTTTTTCTCACACAATTAGTGATTCCTCCTCAAGAACAACCATTCCAGTACCCTCTCTCACAGAGGCCTCTGTTCACCTTGCTCCACCATCCTGGCTGTCCCCAGCACCTGCAGGGACAGCATCCTCGAAGCAGTGGGGCTGCTGGGGACTGACAGGGTGTCCTGCTGGTGCAGGGCCTGCTGAGCCTCCTCTCTGTGGTTAGACATGGACAAGGAAGATGCGCTGATCTGCTTTGAGGAGCACATCCGAGCTTTGGAGAGGGAGGAGGAGGAGGAACGGGAACGGGCCCGGCTTCGGGAGCGGCGCCAGCAGCGCAAGAACCGGGAGGCCTTCCAGGTATCCTTGCCACCCCCCAGACCAGAACTCAACTTTAACCTCCTCAGTCAGGCCCACGGTTTTGTCTGCGCCCGCCCTGTGCCATCTCCACAGGGCCTCTTTATGCCTGCAGGTCTCCCTGCTGTGTCCCCTCAACTTGGCCTTGCCCCTCCAGGGGGGTGAGATGTATGCAGCACCTGGAGGCTGTCTGCAGAGAGCCCCCTAAAGGCACAGCTTGGCAGTTAGGCTGTTTGTTTGCCTTTGGTGGGGAGCCAGCCAGGCAGTTTATCCCCCAGTTCAGAGGTGGCAAGGGTGATGGTAGTAGTGGGGTTACTTCGCCGTAATGCACAGGAGAGTTGAAATAAGTCATGGGAAGATTGTGCTGCAGGCGAGTTTGTTTCTTTGCCTCCTGGCCTGGCTCACTGTCATGATTTAGTCTGTCCCTGTCTGTATTTACATTCTCTCCTTTTGCATTGCTCTCTGCCTCCCTGGCCTGCATCTTCTCAGTCTGTCTTGTCCCTACCTCTCCTGCCATCGCCTTCCCGGCCCCGCCCAGTCTTTGGTTCTGCCTCCCTCCGCGTCTCCCTCTCCTTCCGTATCTCCGTCTCCCTCCGTGTTTCCCTCTTCCTCAGTGCCTCACTCTCCGTATAACCGGCCTTTCCCTGCTCAGACCTTCCTGGACGAGCTGCACGAGACAGGGCAGCTGCACTCCATGTCCACCTGGATGGAACTGTACCCGGCGGTCAGCACTGATGTCCGCTTTGCCAACATGCTGGGCCAGCCGGGTAAGGCAGCCAGGCTCCCCTTCTCTGGCCTGGCTTCCTGCCCTGCCGGCCTCTCTGCACCCATACTTTTGGGTCCTGTCCTTGACCCTGCCCCTAGGCCTTGGGAAGCTGCCGCCTGCCAGGCCCCCCTCCCTCCCTCCCCTGCAGGCTCCACCCCTCTGGACCTGTTCAAGTTCTATGTGGAGGAGTTGAAGGCACGATTCCACGATGAGAAGAAGATCATTAAGGACATCCTTAAGGTGAGGGAGGCCTGGGGTTGTGGATGGATGCAGGCCGGGTGCAGGGGCACGTTCCCCAGGCAGGACTCCCTGATATGCCGTTTTGCAGGAGCATTGCAGCTCAGCTCAGCAGGTATCTGCTGTGACCCTTTTACTGTGCACTGGGGACACAGAAATGAATGAGATACCATTTCTGCCCATAAGGAGCTCATGGCCTAATAGGAAGATAGACGATACAGCTGTTACACAGAGGGGCAAGTGTTACTACAGAGATGAGAGTCAGAAGAATTGACATTTGAAGAGTAGGTGGAAGTCCTGGGCATAGGGACCTACAGGAGCGAAGGCAGGGGTGGGGAGGGATAGGGCATGGTGGGTTTGAAGGGCAAGAAGCCTAGTTAATAATGAACACAGCTGTGTTTCTTCTGGTCTATACAGTGAGAAAAATTTGGAATTTTTGCTAACATTTTAAGATCAAGAGATTGTACATCTTAAGCTTCTCTTGGAAATTTAGATAATCTAGTGGCACTGGGCTGGTTTTGCAAAGCATTCATTGGGCTCCAGCCGAGATGCCACTGCCCTTTAGAAGGGGCGCGTCAGCCTTACCTGCACCTCCCTATCGTGGCAGCGCACTCAGCTGGCACGCACCGTCGCACACACACACTGCCTTTCTGACACCGGGGAGAGCATTCTGAGTACCCATGTCTACCAAAGGTGGAAAAGGGAGCTATGGACCAAGAGAGTTCATTTCTGGTGAAGAAAGCATATTTCTTGTGCAAGTGAAAGACATCCTAATGCATTTGAGCGGGCAGTTGGCATACTTGTTAGGAGCATGACTGTGGAGGCAGACTGCCTGGGGTTCAAGTCCAGCTAAACCACTTACTAGTTGTATGACCGTGGGCAGATTATTTACCCTTTCTGAGCCTCAGTTTCCTCCTCTGGAAAATGGGAGTTTTCTACCAAAGTATACCTAAATAGCAAGGGGGAGTAACTTGGCACCAGAGGTGAGGAGGATCTAAGAATAAAGCTAGAAATGCGCCACCACACACACGTTTCATGTGTTTTGCCGTATAAATTCTTGTAGGTATTGCATTTTAATGCCATATTAATTGTTTAATATAAACAATATTTTAAAATTGCTGACCTTAAGACATACCATATTGTCCTGTGGCTTCCTTTATTTCTCTGGAAGCACGTGTCCAATTTTGGAAGTAGATTGCTGTGTGTGAATTCTTTGAATGTTAAAATAAGTTTGGGTTTTTACCTTGTAAGTAATGGGGACCTGGGGATGATCTGGTCAGATGTGTGTGCCCTGGAGAGGCCCTGGTGTGTGTGGGGATGGTGCCTCTCAGACGGAGTGCTGTCTCCTTAGGGACAGGGTAGTGCCCGAAGCCTACGGATACTAAAAGTGTAGTGGCAAGTAATTCAGATTCTGAACTTGAGTCATCCTCTCCTGACTGCCCCCAAGACCACTGCCCCACTGTGGGGGCCACGCGGTAAAAAGTGTGAGCAGCTCTGGATTCCCAAGGCTGGGTCAGGGGTGAGCAGGGCGACCAGTTAGGAGGCTGCTACAGTGGGTGATACAGGGGTGGCAGGGGGATCGGTGGGGTGCCAGGGTTGGCCACTGAGGATGGCGCTGGCGTGGTCCGGCTGTCTCTAGCACTCCCTGGGTTTCCTCCCAGGTGCCTTGCTAGCAACAAGGGGGTGGGGGGCGTGTTATGCTCCTTCCTCTATTTTCACGTACAGCAGCTTCTCTTTTATACATCAGAGTTTTGTATAAAGGTGTGTGTGTGTGTGTGTGTGGAATTGGGGGAAAGGAAGGCGTGAGGTGCAAGGGGATGGTGGTGCCATTGATAAGGATTAAGTAGGAAGATGAGGGCTGGAGAAAATGGGAATTCCATTTGGGAAATTATTCTCAAAAACAACCTGGGGCAGGGTGGAATGAAGTACGTACCATATATTAAATGGAATAGTCATATGCAGTAGAAATATCTAGTCCCAGGAGAGCTAAATTTTATTGGATGCCTATAGTTTGTAGCCGCAGAGTGGCTGGTATTACTGACAGGCCTTTAGGGGGCCTGTCCTCACTGACTCCTGCTTCTCCACATCTCTGGAGAAAGAAGCTTCTGTGAGCAGTCCCTGTTCCCGTTCTCCCTGTTGGTCTCCTGCCTGCAGAAGGCTGCCAAGCCAGGAATCCCTGTGGCTGTCCGCCAGCCAGGCAGATTGTGATGGTGCCTCTCATCCCGTAGGGTGATGCTGAGAGCCCCGAGCTCGGAACAGCTGGAAGACAGAAGATCCAGGCCTGGGAGATTTGTGGGAGGGGGTGGGCAGGAGTTCACGAGAAAGGAATTTTCTTGGGATCTGCTGAATTTGAAATGTCTGTGAAATATCCAACCCAGTATGGGTCTGAAAATGAGAGAGGTAGAGAATTGGATTACTAGGGACAGTATTGGTTGCAAAGACTCAGTGCTATTCTCAGGTGAGTGTGTGCATGCCAGAGAGGCAGTAGAAGAGATCAGAGAGACAGGAGGGGACCTTGGAGAGGGAGCATCGAGGACGTGAACCGCAGAGGTCTGAGGACCACATGAGCAAGGACTGGGAAGAAGCGCTATGAGGGCATGAACCAGCACTGGGAGAGCAGTGTCCATGAAGAGGCTAGAGCAGGCACGGCACAGGGTTTAGAGTCAGACGACTCTGGCTGTTTACTGATTGAGGCTTCTGCAAGTTATATAGCAGCTCTGCGCCTCAGTTTCCTTATCTGTAAAATGGGGACAGTTTATATGCAAGGTTGCAAGATTTTAACATTTGCAGTGTCTTATGGAGGTTCGATAAATGCTTATTCATTTTCCTTTGTGCTGCATTTAAAGATTTTTGAAACGAAGGAAAAGAAGCAGGTTGTTAAGCCTGAGGAAGATGAGAGCAGAGTAGGAAGGAAGTCCCAGTTAGTGAATTCTGTGTTTGAATAGAAGGAGCCAGTGAAGAGGTGAGAATGAATCTTTCAGTTCCCTGAGAGAGAGATGGACACGTTTGAGAAGGGCTGGAGTGTGTGGGTTGGGGGAGTTCTCTTGGGAGAAGCTGGAGTATGTCTTTGTTGGTGGGAAGGCAGGAGCAAGGTGGAGCTGTGTGGAAGGCGAGGGAGGGAGGTTGGGCCTGCACCCCAGCTGACTGGAGGGCCAGACCTCGAACTCCAGGGGCTCCACTTTCCCCCATGCTGCTGTGGACCCCGTGAGATAACTTTCCTAAGCCTCAGTTTTTTGGGGGTGTTGTGAGACTTAGATGAGAATCACAGAGCCTGGCCCCGGGGCACTTTGAGGATGTGAGTTGTTTTTCTTGTTTGGGAGTTGCGCGCCTGGGGGCTCTGATTCTCCTGAGGACTGAGTGGCCTGTGCGGGTGCAGGGCCTGCAAGTGTGCGCTTGGTGTCAGGGAGACCTGGGGTGGAGTTCTGGCTCAGCCATGTGCTTGTTAGCTGTGAGGGGAGGCAAGGGCTGTAGTTTCTCTAAACCTTGGTTTCCCTTCTGCATAAAATTAGGAGACTAGGATTTATGCTTAAATTTAGGGAGGCGAGGATTAAATGTATATGAAGCACCCAGTTTGGTAGCTGGTACTTAGTAGGCCTTCAATAAATGTAGCTAGAGTGGGACCCGCAGAGAATGACTAGAATGCAGGGGAGTTACAGAGCGGCAGGAGGGCCCAGAAAGGGCCCCAGCTATAAGCTAAAGAACCAGGAAGTAATTGTGAGAAACTCAGGCATCATTCCGCAGCCATGGCACACACACATCCACACACACCCTGCCTCCCGCCCCTTCCCCCATGTGATCCAGCCCCCAGTTCCCTGTGACGATCTCAGCAAGGGTAGGCACGGGGGCTTAACCAGTAGGTGATGAGGACTTGGACAGCCTGGTTTCGGAATGCATCCTAGTCCTGTGGATCTCTTGGGGTGGGAGGCTTCTTGAGCATCCTGTAGCTGGACCCCTCTGCCCACCCTGGCAGTGCCCCCTGCTTCATGCACTGCTGTGCCCACAGGACCGGGGCTTCTGTGTGGAGGTGAACACAGCCTTTGAGGACTTCGCCCACGTCATAAGCTTTGACAAGAGGGCTGCTGCGCTGGACGCAGGCAACATCAAGCTGACCTTCAATAGTGTGAGGGGTTGGGCGGGGCGGGGCTGTAGCCAGGGCTCCTGCTCCAATTCGTCCCTGTGTCTTGTTTCATTCCTTCTCGCTCACTGCCCCAGTGTAACTGTACCCCAGTTCAGGGGACGATGGCAGGAGCCCAGACCCCAACTTCCCGCTTCCTGAGGTGTGCCTGCGTGGGGCCTGGGCCCCCGCCCTCCCGAGTGACCGTGTGTGCTCTGCCCTCAGCTACTGGAGAAGGCAGAAGCGCGGGAGAGAGAGCGAGAGAAGGAGGAAGCACGAAGGCTGCGGCGCAGGGAAGCTGCCTTTCGAAGCATGCTGAGGCAGGCCGTGCCTGCTCTGGAGCTGGGCACTGCCTGGGAAGAGGTCAGGACTGCAGCCTGGCGCACATGCCACCCCTCAATCCTGAGGGCAGCGGTGCTTCTCCACCACTGGGGGCCCACCCCAGTCATAACACAGCTGGGGCCAGCTCCGGCTCCCTTCCTTCCTCCGCCCCAGCCCTGCCCTGTGCTCACGGCGGCACCCATGCCGTGCCGGGGCTGGTCTGATCAGCAGTGCTCTCCCGTTCAAGGTCCGTGAGCGCTTTGTGTGCGACTCAGCCTTTGAGCAGATCACCCTGGAGTCGGAGCGGATCCGGCTCTTCCGGGAGTTCCTGCAGGTACTAGAGGTGAGGCAGAGCTTCTGGTCCTCTACATGTCCCAGCTGCTTGACACTGGAGACCAGCTCCACAGAGACATTCCCCCGCTTCCCTGGATAGCTAAGGGGGAGGGAGGTCTTAGTGCCCTGGTTAGGCCTAAGGTTCCAACCTCAGTAAAGGAGGCCAAATCAGATTTTAGGATACAGGGGCCCCAAGGCTAACCCAGGTGCCTTCCTTACTCCCTTTGCCTCTACCAGACTGAGTGCCAGCACCTCCACACCAAAGGCCGAAAGCACACCAGAAAGGGCAAGAAGCACCATCGCAAGCGTTCCCACTCGCCCTCAGTGAGTTGTCAGGAGAGGGATGTGGGTGAGGCTGGACTGTCTTGGGGAAATAAGAACTTTTCTTATTTTTCCCCATGTCATCTCCCTTGGAGGGAGATTTGAGGATTCCTTTTGCCTTGCATCCTTTTTTTTTTTTTTGCCTCCCAATCCCCAGACTTGAGGGATTTGGGAAGCCAGGGAGTGTCTGCGCTGACATGTACCTGCTGGTTCACCCAGGGCTCTGAGTCGGAAGAGGAGGAGCTGCCCCCACCATCTCTCCGGCCCCCCAAGCGGAGGCGGCAGAACCCCTCCGAATCTGGCTCTGAGCCCTCTTCCTCACTTGATTCAGTTGAAAGTGGGGGTGCTGTCCTTGGAGGACGGGGCTCCCCATCCTCCCGCCTTCTCCTAGGATCAGGTAAGTGGCTGGGAGCTGGAGAAGTTGGCCCAGACTGAGAGGAGGCCCTGGGGAGCCCCAGCCCCCGAGGGTAGAGGGGCTGGGAGGGCACCCGTTGGGGAGGAGGAGGAGCTTCCTGTCCCTGCCCAGGCAGGAAGCCGGAATAACCAGGACATCCCCGGGCAGGTGTTTGTGAAGAATGAGCAGACAGGTGGACTGTGGCAGCAGAAAGGACGACCCCTCCTTTCTCCCATGGAACTTAGCAGGGGGGTTTCTATCTGCAGATCATGGCCTTCGGAAAGCCAAGAAACCAAAAAAGAAAACTAAAAAGAGAAGACACAAGTCGGTGCGTAGAGAAGGAACTTCTGCCCAAGGCCCTGCTATTTTGTGAGATCTCTTCCACCCGCCTCCGGGCTGTTCTTCACAGGAACTGAGGAGGCGGGCTCTGGGCTCTTACAGAACAGTCCCGAGAGTGTGACAGACCCTGAGGAGAAAGCTGGCAAGGAGAGTGATGAGAAAGAACCAGAACAGGACAAGGACAGGGAGCTCCGGCTGACAGAGCTCCCTAATCGCTCCCCAGGTTTTGGAATCAAGAAGGAGAAGGTGAGAGGCAGGTGCCTGGCCCCAGCCCAGGCAGTGCTCTGTCCAGGCCTCCACGGCCCTCAGGGGAGGCTGTGGGTGAGCTGTGCCTTTGCTCCCCCAGACGGGCTGGGACACGTCAGAAAGTGAGCTGAGTGAGGGTGAGCTGGAAAGGCGGCGGCGGACACTCCTGCAGCAGCTGGATGACCACCAGTGACCCAACAAGCTGCTCGGCCTTGGGTCTGTGTGAGGCTGTGGCTACTGGGTCACCCTCACTGTCTGCCCCAGACGCCTTCCTTAGTCTGGTCTGTGTCCATTTTTCCTCAAGTAACCACCCCCAACACGCCATTGCCGGCACCTTCTGAGGTTGCTTGTTGTGATGAAGGGCCCCCATTTCCCGGACAACTAGTGCAGTCCTTGCCCTTGGCCCCACGTGAGATTGGTGGTGTATGCCACGTGGGGTGGGTGGTGCCAGTAGATAGAATGTGAGAAGGGGCCTCCAGGGGAGTGACAGGCTGGTGGACACAGCCTGGGTGGCAGAGGGCGGCATCCTTACCCTCTAGCATCAGTGCCTGCTCCTGCCTACCCAGGTCCTGGGGCTCCACCACGCCTTCCCTCCAGCCTTGGGACCCAGTTTATGTGTGTTTTTGTTTGGTTTTGTTTTATAAATAATATTTATAACATGGTCAGTGGCTCTTTGTCTTCAATAGTGGGCTGGGTGAGTGCACCTGTGGCCAGCAGAGGGCGCTCGTGTCTCGTGGGAGACCTGGTTCTCTTTGTGTGGTCAGAGCCCAACTAGCCTGGTTCTCCTCCCCAGGTTTCTGTGCTCACCTCTGGCCATCTCCTCCCTATCTGCATGGCTCAGGTCAAGCTAAATGGCCACCCTGGCCCACCACACTCAGAAAGAGGAGACAGAGTCTGGCCTGGTGCTTCAAGCCTTTGTTGAGAGAAAGAAGAGCTAGGGTTTATGTACAAGAGAGAAGGGAGGTGGTCCATGTACAAAAAGGAGTGGGTCCCTGTATTCCCTTCAGGGGCTAATAAACGGGCAGGGGACTGAGAATATAGCCAGTTAAGACTGCCATGCCTCCTGCCCCCTCACAAAACCTGGCTGAAGAAAGGGGGTGAAGTTGTTGGCACACCCTCTCTCCAGCCGTCTTCGGGCTGCGGCAGAACCAGCCCCTCTGCCCCCCTCAGCAAGTACAGCCTGCAATGGCAAGGGCCCAGGGTAGCAAGCCTGGCATCTCTCTCCACTCTTACCACAGGCACAACTCTGTGGGCCCCAGGCTCAGGAGGGCCTTGCTCCTGGGGAAAGATGATCTCGAGATTAGCAGGGTCCCAGGGCTCCCCAAACCAGGACATGTGCAGGCCACAGCTGACCTCGGGGCAGTGAGAGAAAAGGGATGGCTGCTTCTTCCTCCCTCCAGCTTTAACAACGGAGGCCTAGGTGCCTATGGAGGCTAAAGCTGGAAATAGTTTTTTCCAGCCCTAGAGCTGACCCTTGGTGACCCTTCAGGAAATGACATTGAAGACCTTGGGGGCAAAGTGCAGTTCTGGAGGCACCTGGGCCAACCAAGGCCCCAGGAGACCTAGTGCCCGCAGGCAAGATGCAGCTTTGAGAGCTGGGGTGGGAGCTGGGTCGGGAGCAGCGAGGCCCGCCATGGGGCTCTTGGCCAATTCCAGGGCTCTGGGTCCACTGGTTAGACTTGCAGGACTCGCAGTTGAAGTGCTTCTGCCTCCTACAGGGTCTCAGTGGGGGCCTGGAGCCCGAGGGGGGGCGCTGGGTGGGGCCACACTCCTGGCTTGGTGGCAAACGACAATGGGCTGGTGCTGGAGGCCTGTGGGAGAGACAGAGATCCGTGAACATGCCAAGAGGCCAGGCCAGGCCCACTCTGTGTAGGAGTAGCCCCTTCAGGAGTAGCTCGCAGACAGGGCCAGAGAAGAGCCAGCCACAAGTGGGATGAGGGAGGAGCTTAGAGACGCTGGAGGGGAAGGTCGGGGAGATGGCTGGGGCTCTTCTTTTTCGGAGGCCAGCTGGGGGCGACTGGAGGCCACGGGGCAGTGGCAGAAACAGGGAAGGCTCAGCAAGAGCCAGAAGCTGGGAAGAGACCCCCAGCAGATTGGATGTGGGGAAACAGGTCAAGGGACATCTGAAGCCCCCGGGCAGAGCTGCTGCCAGTGCTCTTATGAGGAAGGGTCCCAAGAGGGGAACAAGCACAAAAGACACCCAAACCCAGTAACAGCCTCAGGCTCAGCCATTGGAGGCAGTGGCCTAGTCCCTACCCCTGGTCTTAGTAGAAGCTAGGACAGCATTAGTGGGAGAGAGACCACTTCCCTGAGGGCACATGCAGGGCATAAGCCATGCTTCTCAGAGCATGGGGCATGCAGGGAGGGAAATGTGTGTCCCCATCACCATAGCAGCCAGAGGACGGTGCCAAGTCATGCAGAGGGCAGCTGTGGCGCCCGGTACCTGGCAAGGGCCCCAGTCTTGGGGGTTAACAGTTTGACTCATCATGGTGGGCTGCATCGCAGAAGAAGCGTGAGCCCCTCTTGGCAGTACGGGCCGTGAAAGGGACACTCTTCAGCACTGTGGCCCGGAGAGAGACACTGGTCAGGCTCCACAGGGGTGGGGTGGGCGGAGAACACAAAGGGTGTGACTAGGTTCTGGGGGCGGGGCCGAACACCGGCGCCGAGGGAGGAAGGGAGCCCCACCTGTGATGATGTCCTCAATGGTACCATCTTTCCCCTCGTACACAGGCCGGTGCTCCTTGGCCTGGCGCCGCCTCAATTCTGCGATTAGCTCCTGCTGTTGCCACTTGTTCCGCTGGGATGGGGTCTAGGGCCCAGAGTTTGAAGGGAAGGGACTCATCACTAACCTGCCATGGGGACGGTTCCCGCCCCAGGATGCAGTCCGAGACTGCCCTTGACTGTGCACCGCAGCCCGCCCCCATGCTGCCTGGGAACTCCCCCAAAGGCCCCGTCTCCATCCCTCTGGACGCCAGCCTCAGGCCCTCTGGGTGGTCTGCGAGCTCCAGTTTTCCACCTCCTCTCCGTTTGCTCCGCCCCCTCCTAATCCTTCCCGGTTTCCTCCAGGCCCCTGCTCTGGTCCCACCCACCTTGGCATCCAGTTTCTTGGCTTCCTGAGCCAGCTGTTTCTCCCGCATTACCTCCTCCTGCTTCTTACGGGCTTCATTCTCTTGTTCTGCTTCCTAAGAACCGTGTGTGTGGGGTGGGGGGGGGGGGTGTTGTGAGGCTCACAGGAGCTGTGCGGGGAGAGGCTGAGGGTGGAGAGTGGGTGGCAGTGGGACCAGCAACCCCAGGTGGCCACCCTCTGGAGGGGCACTTCCTGCCCCAAACAATGACAGGAAGGGCCTGGGCCCCCACCCTGCCCACCAGTTCACAGCTAAGGCCTAGGCCTGTGGCCAGCTTCCATCGCTCCCTCCCAGGACTCAGAGGAGAAGGGAAAAGCCCAGACGTGAAGCCCAGCCCTCTCGCCATCAATTAGTTTTCTCTCAGCCTTTTTTCTTTAAAAGCTTCTCTCCTGCTTACCTTGTAAGAACGAATGAATCGGACAAACACTGGGAAGAATACAGAAGGAGGTGTGGTCTTGGGGCTCTCACCGAAGTAGCGCACCACTGCATTGTAGGCCTCCTGGGGAGCGAGGGCAGCAGGGGTCAGCCTGGCGGAGAAGGGGAAGCCGGGCTCCCCACCAGGGACAGGAGCCCACAGTGGCACCCAGCCCCTACACGCTGGAAGAGAGCCAGGCTCCCAAGCTCCCTAGGGTAGGATCCCAGAGGCAGCTGCCTGCACCCCCAATACCCACTTTCCCCCACATCAAGCCAGCCAGCCAGCGCTGGACAGAAGTTCTTTGATCCAAGAACCCAAAGTACACCCACCTAGAGGGATGCGGTGCCTTAATCCCGGTCACTCCCGCCAGCCTCCACCCTGTGCTCACCTCGGCCGTCTTGGCATCGCGCTGGAGCTTGTCCAGTTTGCCCTCATTGGTGGTGAGGAAGTTCCGAAGGACGCTGTTGTCATGGATACTGCACTCCCTCCGAATCAGCTCCATGCCCCGGCCCAGCTCCTTCACATCCAGCAGCACGTTCTCCAGGGACACTGCGGTTGCCAGAGCCCTGGCTGAGGCCTGCCCAGGGCCCAACGTGCCCACCTCCCAGCCCAGGGCCTCAGCGAACTCTGGCCCTCCCACTCAGCATGGGCTCATTCAGGCTCCCTGGCTTCCTGAGCCACCCAGGTGGACACTGAGGGACACACCAGGCTAGCCAGGCTCTCACGGGGGTGAGAAGAACGAATGTAGGCTGGGAATTCACGATCCCAAAGGGCGAAGTAGCAGAGGAAGGCTAGCCAGAGAGACAGCTAGTCTCCAACACAGAGCTGCCTCTGGCCTGCCCAGTGTTCGTGAGCGGGGCGGAAAGAGCAGCTTCCTAACACCTGAGGGGCTTTATGGTCCTCTAAGCACTTCCCACACATCACAGAGAAACGCAGTCCAGGCCCAGCCTGCAGGAGTCAGGGGTGGAGAGCCACTGTGGTCCCCCTCTGCCTGCTCCCACCCACCCAGGTGAGAGGGGCTCTGCTGGGTCTGGTGCTTGCAGGAATGTCCCCTCTGGGTGGCCCCTCCCATGGCCCCAGCGGAAAGCTTTGAAGTGGTCAGAAAACAGACAACAAAATCCAGAAACAAAGAGACCCAAGTGTTCCACCTCCTCAGAGCTTCCTGGGATTGTCCTGAGCCGAACAAGGGGGCAGGCCCCCCTCACCTGCTGCAGCCTTCTCCACGAAGTGCAGCTCGTGCCAGAAGTTGGCCAGGTCTGGGTATTTCTCCTTCACCGTCAAGGCGATAAAATGCAGCAGTGTCATTTTCCTGTCCGTGGACTTGGTGTCCAGCAGCTAAAGGGGGTGCAGGGAGGGGGGACAGGGAGCAATGGGAGAGCACTGAACACGCAGCTCCACAGCCACCGTCCCTCAGGGTTCCTGGTGCCTGGTGGTGCCCCCCATCTTACCAGATCCAGGCTCTGGAGCTTGAAGCCGTACACAGCCCCCCGCTTGCTGCTGTTCATGTAGTTCCCCAGTGCAAGTATGATCTGTCCAAAAGATGAGTGGGAGGGGGTCAGGCTGAGCCCCAAGGGCTCCTTCCTCTTCGCTGTATGGGCCCAGGTCCCACCCAGGACCCAGGGGCCGTGAGCACCCCCACCCACAACGTCTCCCCACCTCCAGCATCTGCTTCAGCTTCTGCGAGGACTTGACAGAGGCGGAGGCTGCGATGATGGCATTGAGTTGCTGGAAGGCAAGATGAAGAGCTGAGCAACCCCAGGCGAGGAAGGGCAGAGTCAGAGAGGGGCCGGGAGGACTGGCCGGGCCAGGGAGGTGACCAGCAAGTGGACGGTGGAGAGGGGGCGGCGGGCGACTGTGACCGAGAGGGGCCTACCGGCGTGAGCATCTGCAGGTTGTCCTGGAAGTTGCCCAGGAAGGCCATGCCAGCCATCCGCTGGGTCAGCCGCTCCACCTTGCTGAAGAGCAGCATGAAGCGGTCCTCGGCCGCCAGCTCCTCCAAGGGCTGCCGCTCCCGCTCGTACTGCCGCAGCAGCTTCACTTCGGCCTCCGTGGGCAGGAAGCGCATCAGGCACTCCACGAAGTCCACAGGTAGTGTCTGCAGGTCGTACCTGTGCAG